TTTCCGTTTCGTGATGCTACATTATTTCCATTTCTGGCATTTGTTATACTTCTATTGACACTCTGTTTGGCAAATGATTCTTCGAATTGCCAGTTCACATGGAATGATTTCAAGTTATATTTAGAAGTGTTTTTGTACTTCTCTAAAGCTCGGAGTTTACAAGTGTGCAGCTCATTGGGAATAATATTCTTCAGGTAACCTGTTTGTCTTCACAATTACAGCTTCTATCAGTGAGTGCTATGTTTATGTATAGGTGTCAATTTCGTCCTTTTCGAACAGTTTTACTCATTTTAGTTGTCGCGCCAATAGAGTGCATTAGAATCTCAATAAAAATAAATACCCGAAATACCAGTGTCTTGATCAATCCCTTCAGCCAATAAAGAGCAAAATAAACCACCCCGAAGCTAGGTTGTTTTGGTTCGAATTAACTCAAATATTGGTACGATTGGCCTCCGAAATCTTTCCTCGAACGAAAACTTTCTTACCTGATTGCCAGAAGTCTGTGATTCAGGTTATGCAGCAAAGACTTGGACGATAAAACTGGTGAAGCATTTATTCACTTGTTATGGGATACTCGGCGGTTGACGACCTCGAATCTTGATTTTCAGAGAGACCTTTTGGGTTGTCTTTCGTTATCGAATACAATAACCGTGTTTGGGCATTCCTTGTAATAGAATCCCGTTTGTTCTGCAAATGTTACCTGATAGAGCAAAAGTGAGGCAACCCAGAATGACTTTTAGTTGCACTTATTCAGAGAACGTGCCTTAATACGCGATGACAAAGGGGGCTGCATGGCAAGAATTTTCAACCCAAAGTTCTACTGAAATTTGAACGTCTATAGTTACGCAATTATGATTACACACATAATGAAGCGGTTTCTTGATCTGACTTGACTTGACCAGACAGTTACCTTTGGTGGCCGTTTCAAAAAAGGCACTTTTGAAGTGAAATCGCATTAAGAGCCTTGACTTCACCTCTGCATCTGGGAAGAAGCTTAGGGTTGTGGTGAACGGGGTACAGTCTATAGCTTTTAGTATCAAAACAAAGTAAATATATACAGTTAGAAACGAGTGGTATCAGTAGTCACAAACCAGGAGGTAACACTTCTTGAGGCAGCAAGTATTCTAAACCTAAGACGACAATCTCTAAACCATCGAACAAACATGTTCTAAGTATGTTTGACACCAGAGTGGTAGTGAGACAGAACAATACCAACGTGCTTGAAATTATCTTTCTAAAATTCACATATACTATGAGAGCAGAGTAAAACGTCATTTGGAAGCACTATTCGCGTTATCTCAACGAAGGGAAAAATTGTGTATTTTACGGTCAGAAAACTGAGAACAGGAAGTTCAGTAATGAACAAGGTCGAGACATTCATTCATTACTTTTAGAATGAAACAAGTTACTCACCATATGTTTCAGCAGAGCTAATGCAAAGGTTTCAAGCAGACTCTAGACAGACTTCCAATCACCTTAGAGCTTTGGCGAACGAATTGGTTTCTTTGCCGGGTGGAAAAGATGAGTGGTGGATTGAGTTCTGCACTGAAGCTACATTACGCTTCACAAGAAACCCAAAACGTCTTCAGAGCCGAAAACAAATAACATTAGGCCTTGCTGCCTAGGATACATTCGAGGCAGGTTCGAGTAGAGAATTTGTGGATGGAAGACACTTGTGGCCTCCTATGCCTTCTGTGCAATTTGCTGAACTTTTTCTAGCTACCGCCTTTCGAAGAAAGCCTCTCCATTCTCCAGATGTGCTGAGAGAGCAATTATTCTAATAAAGCGCATTTTTACCCCACGGAGTCAAAATATAGGGGTTTATTATTATTTTGCATATATGCGCAAGACGTGCAGTCACCGTACGGTGCAATTCAGTCTCGTTTCGTGTTACTCAAACAGTACTCGGCAGTTTGCCTGGCAGAAATCACTCAACAACCGTGGTGAAATGAATCGAGTGGCACGCAACTAGAAAATCTGTTCGTATGCAAAAATCTGCTCACCATGTAATAANTCGTCTGAGCACATGTTGAGAACAATTATCAATGCACGCAATCTTTGCGTGTGACGTTCTGTTATTGGCATGAAACAGACAGCTGGTTTCAGTGCGCAGAACAATTTGTGTTACGAAGAACTCGGGTTTATCCATAGTGAAATTTGCAGGTGAAACAGGTAAAACATCAAACTGATTTCCAGTTATTCCCAATTAAAATAGTGTACCGCAGAAGCACATCAGCCGCCACACAGAGTATACGTTTTCTCTATATAGAGTTGTCGGAAGGGGTATAACAGTGCTTCAGTGCTTCACAAGCACTGATGACGTCACCTCGGCTGGTGATGAAACGTTTGCAAACAAATTGCCAAGCTCGGCGAACAGGCGAAATGGAATTCAGTTCATCCGAGCTGCGAGAACCAATTTTCAATATTTTGTCAACAAATTTACATATTAATACGTGGCATGATGCATATGGTGATGTCAACAGTAGACAGACAAAAGTAAGCAGAATTAGTGGGTTTCTCCGAATACAACTAACCTCATAAAAACTCCTTTATGCGGGAATGAGTTTTCGTCTAACATATCCAGTGTAGTGATTCGCACGTAGTCCATCTATCAATCGAAAACAATTGTTTTAATGTTACAGTGGTTTTAACGGGAAATATGAATAAATCATTTGACTTTCTCCTTTCAGATAAAAACGCTTCACTCAGAATGTTTACTCCACATTTTAACTCGTAAATACACACAGATGTCATTTGGTTTTCCAATACGATTCGCTCTCTGGGTCCATGCTCGACCTGTTCTGATTGAGGAAACTGTCTGGTGCTTTTACCCGTGGATTTTAGCAGTGGTTCTGAATCAATAACCCACTTACTAACTTATTCGTTAAAGCCACATCAATCTGACAGACGCTAGTTGCTTCTTTTGAGGAGAAAATTGCTATTTGCTGGTGAATGATGAACTGTCGCACGAGTATTTGGTGATGAAAGAGGATAAGTAGGATACTTTGCAGTAAATATAAACAGACAAGAGCAGTTCGTGCCCATGGCAATCCGGGCCTTTGACAGTCATGCAAAGCGGATCATCATTTAACGTGAAATATTTTTTCACAAACGCCTGGGAATAGTTATACCGATTTAAGCTGTTAAGCGATTAGGGCGTACAGAAATATAGTGAACAAATGATGTTACCTATCACTTTCGGAAAGATCCCGTTTATGAATTCGAACGAATCTGAAAAGGTTTGTACCGTTTCACCCGCGTGACACTGATATTTGCCGTGCTACTCACTACTCATGGCACATTTGCTAATTTTCAGCAGAGAGATTAGTGATATTCTTTTAATAGCGAGAATATTTTCCATCATTCAATCTATACCATTTAATCCACTTGTTATTGGGGCGAAACGTTCAACTTTCAATGATGAACAGATGTGGACGAGCTTTCACTGAAGCCACTAGTGTGTGTTGCGATGTAGCTCAGTTGGCAAAGGCGTACACGGTAACTCTTGTATCGCTCCTGGTTCTTTCGCAGCTTCATTGTGCTAAGCGTTTTTCTGAAATAACCGACCAGGAAAGACTGAACTGTTAGTTTTTGCAGTGTAAGCACATACGCCTTCCAAAGCAATATGCACTATCCACACCACTACTCACAAGTAACAAAGTTGAATGGAAAATTTAAAAAATCACAACTTAACTGAATGTAAGAATTCGAAGTGGCATTTTCGTTTGAGTTCAAATACCATCAAGGCTCCAGTTCATTTTGCCGTCAGATTAAATGAAAACTACGCAGTCCTTACAAATTTTAATTCGGAGAACACGAATTTCCAATGTCGCATACTTATCTGTCACCGACTAAATATCAGCTGGGTTAATTTTATCCTCTTTGTGGTGGCTGAGTTGTAAGCAAAAGTTATCCGAAACCATCTTTTTCAACCGCACCGTCGACTCAAATGCAACAAACAAACATTTGAAAAAAAACCAATCACCTGCAAATAATCCCGATATGTGCAGGCATGCGATGCGTTCTATTGGGCTCTGCAACACAACAGGAAATAATCCAGACTAACGCTCAATGAATATTACGCATGGGAAGTTTAACTTACCCGATTACACTTTGACATAATTTTATCCAAGTGCTTTTTCGGTCGTTGCAGACATTTACTAATTCCTGAAAGACATAAGATCCTCGTTCTGAGACTGATTTTTGTGTGTTGCTCAACGAGAACGGACTGACTGACCGACTGACTGATTGGAGTTCAGAGTCTATGATGTGTAAGTTAATAATTTACATCACATCAATTTGTATAGAAAAGAGGAAATAAAACTGATGATTATTCAAATGGGAATTGTTGTTAGTTTTTTGTCCCAATTTCACAAAATCGGATATGGCTGATCCTACCATCGGAACTTAAGCCTGGTCCGTGTTAATTGTGTGATTTCCTATCCCAAATTTGAATATAATCATTATTTTGTGTTAGTTGAGTAGTTCAATGTAACAAATAATGAAATGCGTTTCCATACAAGTGGGGGACTACGAGACCGCTTGTTTTGCATCAAAATATTTAAAAACATGCTGCATACGACAGCCATGATAAAATCTCAACAGATCCCTCAGAATGTGGTGAGACAACGTTAGAAACCAAATGTTTTGTCATCTGACGCATTTTTTTTAATTTTAAATTCTGAAGCCAAACGCACTAAATATATTAAACAAGATAAACATCCATATAATATTGATCAGACCAATGAGTTCTCGGTGACAAGGAATTAATTCGGAATCATTATTTGGTATCTTTCGCCCCAGATGATACTGTTACCAGTTAATGAATACTTTCGCTAGTAAAAAAACACATTTTTGCCGTGAACCTCGTTCTGCTGTATCCTTACCTCCCATCTAATAACATTTGATTGCAACCATTCTCCCCATTCAGTCATCAAGTATCCACACCTGTAATGTCGAAACGAACTGTTACTAACGAAGCAGACAGAACAGTTAACGTAATGGCTGATTCGAACCCTATCAAAGTTGGACAGATTCGTCCCATTTCCGCCTCATCCGTACGAGCTGGTGGACTACTCTACGGCCGCCCCTTGTGGACACAACAGGTTCTGACAACTCCGGTCGAAGTGCCACACACATTTGAACTGCACCGAAGTGCAAAACCCACAGTTTGTCAACATTGTCGCCGATTGCTTCATGGATTATTCAGACAGGGTTTACAGTGCAAAGGTTAGTCCTTTACAAATCTTCGAAAGGGTTGATTTTTGTTTTGATTGATTATAAAAAAGAATATCACAATCAAAACATTAGGTACTGAACACTACCTTCTCAGGAATAAGTTAGACGACAGGAGATGGAAATATATAGCTTAACTAGCAAGATTTTTCTCCTGTTGAATGAGTGGCAAGAAGCTGCCCCAGCTAATAATTGTTTGATCTCAATTGTTTCAAACGAAGTTCATGCAGGGGACCAAACAAATTCAGCTTGTATAAACTGGCCAGCAAGATAAGTGAACTTCGACCCCGACCCCGTCTCCCTCCCACTGCTTGAGAGATCGCACATACCGTGTGTAATTCCCGTATAATCTTCTCCGTCGTCATAGCGAGTAACGTTGAACCAAGTTATCAATGCCCGCTCACTTCTATCCGTGGCCAAAGAAGGGTCGACCAAGGATGTAGCAAATGCCACTTTCCTCCACCTAACAACATACTTGCTGAACTTAGTAGTAAAATGTTTTCCAGAACATTTGATCCACATAGAACATTGTATTGTAAACCGGTCGATTTCATTCAGGCACACAGACAATCATCATATATGAGCTATCAAATGATGCTATCAGCTTTTATTTTTTTCTGATTCACTCTTGTTTTGCTTGGCACCTTGTGGTTGTTTTAGTTTCAAATGTTCACTTTGTGTTCAATAGTGTATATGCTAAACACTGTTTTTTACATTGTGTTATTTCCGAGGCACATTCATCGTTAACACTTCCATTCGTATTCATTTTTTATTGAAATCCGTACTACTCACAACATTTCATTCACTAAATCAATAAATAATACACGTGCAACTGATTGCTTACTAAATCAACATGTGTAGAGCGTGGCACAGTATACGGTATGATGTGAAAATGTGTAATTCTGATGAAGCATACCTTGATAAGTTGGAAAATGTAGTTCACACCTTTACGTTATTTATCCTTTAAAACAATTGCATTTTTCCTCACTACCTCCTCTCCCAACGTGGTACAGATTGCAAACTTTGGGTGCACAAAAAATGCGCCAGTTCAGTCCCCAAAAATTGTGAAGGAGAGCAAGTAGTCCCTGACGATGTGGGGCAAAGTAAAGGTGAGCATACTGTGAACATTTTAAATTACTATCGACAGTTTACATATATTTGTGAGTTTGTCCATTGAGTGGTACTCGGTGACTGGGTATATGACTTGGAAACCCATATGGAACGTTCTTTTTGCTCACAATACTATCTGAACTCAAACGTGTCAATCGGAACACTCAGTGTATATGTATATTTTTCTCAGAAAAATGCATTTGCAATCATATATATCTGAAAAATTGGTACCTATATAGTTTTTCAATCAAACATACTTAGAATGAAAGAGGTGAACTCAGTTTATTATTAGGTCAATCAGTCGATTAGAACCCGGCTGGGATCAAACCCACTAACTAGATTTTGTGTGAGTCTAATTTGGTTGTGTGTATGTCTGGATTACAAATGCGTTGATGCCTCGGCTGTGAGAAGTCCAGAACGTTAATCAAGATTATTTAGTCACCAGAACACAGGTTTAGAAAGTCGTATACGAATGACTTCGGTCATTAGAAGAGTTTTAAACCTGATTGTCTTTGACCCATTCCGTGGATCGGTCCGTAGGATCTGTCCGTGAACGGGCAGTCAACTCCAGTTCAACCGTATGCGTGCACTGGAGAAAGCACACATATTTCTATTGCCCTGTGAGATAACAAGTGCCCCCCCCTCCCCCAGTGTTCAGCGATCTATTTCCTCACCTTCGTATACATCATTAACGTTTATTCATTGAATTTTTCACCCAGGATGCGATCATCCTGAGTTCTGATTACTGCCTCATAACGTATGATTTTCATTTCAACAAAGGACAGGTTACTAACGCTTCGATGAAAAACTTGTAGGGATATAAGTTGATCTTAGAAACTGTTACCGTTAGCGTTTGTTATAATCGCTTGTCACACCTAATAATCCGGGCGTAGACTGAGAGATATTCATGGATATTCACAATCGAAATTTGTTTTGTTTAATGGTCGGCCGATCGAGCACTGGATAGCTGGTTCATCCTTGGTGGACCTGGTCATCGATAAGGTAGTATTTTTGGGTTCTTACTGGAATTGCAAGAGCAACCTACCGACCTGCTTCATAGCACTGATACATGACGGGACGTTATATGTATGGCCAAACTTTAGGCTTGTTTGGTATACCTGACGCTGCATGAATAGCACCTAGTAGAAGTTAATAATGGCACCTGCAGCTTAATAACGCATATACATTCCACCTGATCTTGATGGTATTTGTGCTGCATGAGATACTTTTCCACAACATGTCATTGACCGGTGTCTGCTTTCAATTTTCCATTGTATAGATACTGGTTCCATCCGTGCCGGGAGTTTGGCCGATCATCTCAGCGCGGGCAAGCTGAAAAAGAAGTTATTTCTCCGTGGACAAACAGTGGGCACAATAAATGCGGCCGAATCATCACATACCCCGTTTCCCACCGGCCGGGTGGACTGTCGATCCGCAGGTCGCCTTCGTCGCCAGCTCACCGAGGAAGAAACAGAAGAGCGTTTGGAAACGAAAAATGCATACATGCAAAGAGTGGATTTCGTCAATCAGAAAGAGTTTCCCCGAGACGTTGATCAGTCCGGTAAGCGCCGAATGAGGCTCCTGAGGTTTCGTTAAAATAAAAAAATCTCATTACTTCCTTGTTTATTTATTGAGTATACAAATGTACCATCAACTTTCACTAGGAGGTCGGGGCCATCAAAACGTCTGCATGAGAAAATACGGAAATGGGGAAACGGGCCGTGGTGGGGCACGTTGAACCCGGGACATCCGGGCTAAAACTTCAATGTCCTAAACCACTTGATCACCACGGCCCAAAAAGGTAGAAATTAGCTTACACTGTATAGTCACCTGACAGTTGTATCGAAAGTATATTTACTCAAAGAAAGCTGCGATTTGGAAGCAAACTTCTATCCACTCTTTTAGAATCGAGTGTCATCTAATTTAGTGACAACTTCAAGACAAATTTGACTGTTTGCATTAGCCGATGACAATGTCTACATTGCTGATCACCCACCATTATATATAATGTAAATTGTGGGTGATCAGAAACAAAGCAATCAAACACAGAAGTACCCTTTTGCTTTGACTCCAATTTTCTATTTGAGGAGTTCTCTTCTTTCAATCTGCGTGCATTTTTGTGGTATTTGATTCTTCCGGGTAATAAACATCTCCAGTGTCACTGCGCAAACATGATTTGATGTTTCCTGCTAGCATCGATGGGAAACAGTGGTAACGCACAACTCCAATTAGATATGTAACAAATTAAAATCCCGTACAGGTCAGTGGATAAAAAGTGCTGTTCAGATGCAAAGAGAGCAGATAGAGTTGACCGAATTGACTGCGAAATCTGTAGGAAGATGAAGTTAAAATTCATGTTAGACCATGTTCCATTCTAAGCATAATTAAATTGCTTTTGTAATGCTCATTGCAATCAAGATCTTACCCTCGTGTTGTTTATACGTCAACTGATTATGTAAGACTGAGCCCCTCGTCTATGGATCACTACTATCAGGAATCAAACCGTGCAACCAGGACCATAGTTTAAGTTGCCACTGGTTTTACCCATTAATCGTCCTTTCCTATCCCCAGAAACAAACTCCTCCACGAAGCAAACATAGTAGCGGAGTGGTGCACCCTTAAATCGGCAGAAAACGCCACTTGGTTCTATACCAAAGACAGCTCAGAGTTCTTCCTCTTGCGAAATGTATCAGATATTACACTGGTGTATGCACAAGTACCTCGATGTCATCAAATATGCAGAGCTTGTATAGGCTGTGCTAGTATACGCAATCGGTAGTATACTAAGACCACTATTGCCTACAAATAGTAGTAATATTTTTAAATACATTTGTACTGTTTGATTCTTCAGGTAAGTAGGTGGCTTTGTTCACTTAGCCAAACACCACAACATTTAAATCAAGGTAGTTGTGCTAGCAAGCACCCATAAATTGTGATCGGGCGGTCAACGAGAAAAATGTTCCGGTTCTCACTGGTAACGTAACTGTTGCAAATGTGCATAGGATTGGAGTGGTGGTAGCCAAGTGGTTAGATCATAAGGTTGTGACCAGGGAGTCCCTGGTTCGGATCGCTTCAAAACCGCCCAACTTCACCACTTCCGTATTTTTGCCAGGCAGGCTTCTATGACTGCGGCTCTCTTCCTGATGGTAAACTGTAGATTTGTATATTCCACCAAACAAAAGAGGAAGTAAAAAAGACATTTTGCATTTTAAAATTACAATGCAAATCATGCTTCTAATTGTGATAAGACTGAACTCTAATTGCTCTATCACATTTCAACCACTTCCTGATCAAGTTGTTTTGGGGGTGGATTGGTAAAAATCTTGTAGAACCCAAACGTGCATAGAAACTGTGGAAAACCCCAGTCTGAACGAGCGACAGCAACGAAGATCAGTTGGCTAAGTGAGAGAAGAGAAATTCAAGTTACGCAATCAACGAGAATATTTACCCTGAAATCCTGAACGGAATTTTTATCTTTGAAGCAGAAAAGAATGAAAGTCATTTGCTGGTGAATGCATCACGCAGGATAATCATTGTTTGATTGCCTCCGAATAAAAAAAATTCTCTACAGATTGTTTTTCGATTGAATTATTTCACGCACGATTGGCGCTAATAAGGTGAGCTAACCCACAGCGGAAAGTACTTGGGTGTGGACAAGCTACCTTCCAGCTATGATCATTTTTTATGCTATTTCGTCAAAATCGCTCCCCAGAAAAACACGTCGCCTTTGAGAGAAAAACTGCAGTTCCTCCTGATAACTTTCAGCTTTTGGTGAGGAATACCGTAATGTAGAGATATTGGTTCCTTTCCGGTCAAGTTATTTTGGTAATAGCCCGTTTAATGTGACGAACAATCACTCAGGGCATCGAAAAAGGCTTAAATGTTTGGAACTGTGTGATATTCTGTTATTATTATATATATTTAATTGGTGGGGAAATTGCGTGCACTGTTTGTGAATAAATAATTCGCATTCGTTACTTTCTTGTTTCACTTGTATGTGTAATCACCAACTGTGCAGAATTTGAGATGATATCTTTCTCGGAATGCATCAACAACGCTGACGAAATCTCTGATAAATGTTTAACATAGCTAACCACTACTCTCTTTGAGATTCTGAGTGCTTTTGTCCAAGAGCTCTCAATCATACCAAGCTGGTTTGACAAATGCAAAACACTTTTATATTCTCTCTATAAAATAGTCGCATGCACAGTGTCCCGTCGAATGACAGCGTGGTAAATCACTGACATCTGTGTGCGTTTATTCAATTAGTAAACAGTGAGCCGAAATTCTTTGAATTCGACTTTGTCAATGGCAAGTTAAAATATCAGTCCAAATCCCCCAGTTCAGCTCACATGGGCTGAGCCTGAAATCTGTGCGCAAATATATATATATTTACCACTGGCTTGAAAACAAGCATGGTGCCAACGCAACAACAATGACAGTGAAGGGGATAGGTGGATTAGGATACAGAACATGGGGAAAAGTGAGTGAGACAGTTAAACATGGAAAATACAAGATAACAGAATTTTTTTGTGTGTTTCACCGTACACCTTTTGCAATTTTTTTTGTTGTTGTTTGATGTTTCGTTTTTCTTAATGGGCACGGGATTTCGATAGACAGATCGTACAGCATTCGCGCCACTGACTTCTATTCTGCGCCATATCTCTCAGCGTCTCTAACCATAGACAATCCTCATCCCTTGGGCCCCAACCTGGGAGGCGGGCTGCACCAACCGAAGCCAAAGCTGAAGCCAGCTTCTTCATGCCTCTAGCCCATGTCATGGTCTGACCGCCGCGCCGCTTCTTCCAGCCTTGCCCGGCACGTGCAAAACAGAGACAGCTTCCTTCCAGTACAGTCAAATCGCTTCAGAGACGGTGGCAAGGAGATGGTGATGTAGTGGCATAATTGACCTGTCCTTTGACACCGTTTCTATTATAAATCATTTTACGCCACTCGATTTGGCTACGCACACTTAGTTCTCTTTCGACATCGATGAAGAGGAACAGAATCAAAACACCTGCAGCTGGGTATAATAAACCTCTAAAATAAAACCGCTTAAAACTGGGATAAATAATCCATTTCTGACGCCCCCTTTCTCTTTGGGAATGCAACTCGGTGCAGGCTATCTCCATTCCAACTTTCGGGTTGATAAGAGATAGCAACTGAATGTGTATATTGTTGGGAAATTTCTCGTAAACAAGTTCTTTAAATTGACTGGCTTCGTAACGAAATTCGATAAGCTTGTACCTTAATCCATTGTTGTAGATGGTAACCCTAAAGAGTACACACACGGGATAGATACCCGAAAACAACACGACCAGTGGGACAAGTGTCACAGGATCAGGGTTCGATAGGATCAGAAAATGAAATTTCAATTTAAAGAAAACAACTGAAAGGGTTAGTTTACTTTTCACTGTGGACAAACGTGCAATCAATAAGCATTATGCCGATTCACGCTGGCTGTAATGCACAGGACGATGATACAGATCTGCTGAAAAAGACTGAGTAACACGATAGCATTTCAATTTGGTGAGATACAAATTCCTCGGAACGAACTGACTGTGACAACTAAATGTTCAGAATCAAAGTTTCATCACGAGAAATTTTCAGGAGTGGTTACTCCTCTTGTCCCATAGGGCTTTTCGCACAAATGGATCGATTTACGGGTTGAAAAGAAATAAGAAATGTCACACGTTGTTTCATGCACTGCTGCGGATATCGAAATTTAACAGTTGACAATGTTTCATCCAGTCTGTCCTTGAAAGACCGTACATGACCGTACATTTTGATACATTAAATTCAGTGTCATTTTCGGTCAACTCTTGATGAGTAGCGCTGAGTGTTCTCTGAGTTGCCAACGAGTCCTCGGGTCTTGTCACTGTTTCACATATTTTTACATAGCCTGCAAACATTTTTGTTAGTGGCCCCAGGTTACCCGACATTGACATTCACCGCAGAGATGTGAAGATCAGAAGGGCTGATTTGTTCATGTTCTATGACAATATTCGGTCCTGGAACATCACCTAAGCGATCGATCTTCACCTCACGAATGGATGTTGCTTGGTGACCAAAAAGGATATACTAAGAGATGAAATATTACAACTTGAGATCATCTCAGTTGGATACTCTGTGAGACTCAAACCGCGAACCTTCGGATTGGGAGGGGAAGTTCTGGCAGAACAAATCTCTTGTATGAATCTAGCGAATTAACGCATACTTAAGGGTATCTGTCCCCTTTTGGCAATTCTTTGTGTTGAAAAATNGTTTTTAACCACTCCAGTTTACCACCGTACGAGTGCGTTTAATCACACTTCTCGTCATTCAACTGGTTCAATGGGTCATCATTAACATTTCCATGGAGATGAGCTTCTACAGGACGGTAGAGAGCAGAGAACACTCATTGGATCGGACTACAGAATGGCGTTATTACGCACACTAATAGTACTCAAAATATACAATTAACCAAATACTGCTTGTTGGATTTGTGAGTAAACAATAGTCGATGAATGAGACAGATGGAGGCAGTTCGCCGCATAGGGGCAATGTTA